AAACCCGTGTGACAAATTCTTTCAGCCAGTTTTTTTTTTTTTTTTTTTTCTTCTTTTTTTTAAGTAGTCAGACCAGAAGCAAGATAGGAGAAGGCAAGCCAGAAACACCTGGGTGGCAAAGGGCAGTCTTCAGCCACTGGCCAACGTGGGTCAGTTGATGTGGTGACTCAATATTGCGGAATTGCAACCCATCCTGTTTTATCTTGCACATCCTTACTATGCTAAAACAGAAGGCGTGAGGAATTCTCTCCCCACTGGCAACACAAACGGCTCAGGGACAGCTTTGGGCACCGTGAAGTCCCTAGCTGCTGGTGGGCCCTACAGCTGGCTGGGACCCTCACTTGCAGTCTGAGGATTCACAGTGGAAGATCCTTGCAAGAACATTCCTGCAGCATGCGGGACAATGAGGAACGGGACTCTGATGAATTCTCCTAAGTAAGGAAGTCCATCCTAAATCCTCCCCTCAGAAACCTCAGTTCATCCAGCTGGGTTACTGGATCACAGTGAGGTGCCAAGCCTGTCTCTCCAGCAACGGTGGAATACAGATAGCTACAGAAGAAAGAAAAGTTCAAAGGTTGTCCATCCACTTCCAAGACTGAGCCAAGTCACAAACCAACCAGAAATCCCTGCTATGGCTACAAGGACATTGGCACCTACACACACTTGTTCCCGCAGACACAGACCTAACTACACATTGCTCAAGGCTTATAACACTGATCTCACCGGCAGGATTTAAAAATCACCAGTCTGCTACTCTCTCCCCAGGCCAGCAAAGGATATTTTGTTTTAACCTCACGCCTTCAGTTCATGCTTCTCCCTGGGAACGTTTGTTTCACTCAGCTGTCCAAAGCCAGTCCCAGCCATGAGACCCAGTTGTTGAAGTGTTTCAACAAACCCAAACCACCACTCTCAGCACGTAACTTGCCAGACAGTTTTACTGGTTACAGAGGGAATTCCAGCCTTTGACTCCCTAGCAGTAAGTAAGCGTGTTCCCACGCCATTCCCTCATCCACACAAAACTTCCCTCGTCCTGAACTGCTCCCTTAGAAGGCCTGAGATTATTTGGGTTATGCTCCGTGCAGAGAAGCAACAACATACACACCTGTAATTATGTAGCCCTGAGATGTTCCACTTCCAAAAGCCATAAATTCTAGACAAGATTATCTTGGTTTTAAAACTCATCTTCCCTGGTTCACAAGATGAGCCACTTCATGGCCTAGATAGGAAAGATGACATATGAGGGCTTATGTTATGATTACATAAATTAGCAGGCACGCACTTACTAGAAAGGGCTACTAGGGCTAGTGCCCACCCTTTTCATGGCAGCTGCAGGCGTCATGTTCTCCTGTCAACTGATGGGAGAACAGTAGAGGAACTCAATACGACAAGCATATTTTTAATTTACAGGCAACACTGGCAGTTTGAAAACTTTTTAATTAAAGAACACATCTGACAAGGTACATGCATGCTGCAAAGCTGGCTACACCGCCTTGGGTACTAGAGGCAGACTTGCTTTTCCTCACTAATTTACGATTGCGGGGAAGGAATCTCAGAGCAAACAATCACACTTTTCAGTGGGATAAATGAGCACATCCAGATCCCTCTGCTTCACCAGCTGGGCTGCCAGAGGTACTCAAATTGGCTTGTTCAAAGCTAGTTTTGGTGCCCCTGCAATATAGATCTAACCTGTGGTTTTTTTTGGAAATGCCACAGGCGGAGCGACTCCCACCTCACCATCCTGCCTGTAGGGACTCCAGGAGCCATGGCTACAGCAGATCCAGCAGAGCTCAACTGGAAGAGGGAAGAGAGGAGATGCCAGGACGCTGCCCGCGGGGCCTGCAGAACTGCACGTGTGCTTCTGATCCCGGGGAGGCAATCACCGGATCCGTGCTCTACCCGCCTCTCTTGCCAGTACAGGCTTCAAAAAACAAACAAAAAAAACAACCATGTTTCCATTGTGACCAGATATTCCACTTTAATAAACAAACTTTAATAAAGCAAACAATTATAAAAAAGCCAGATCCTTTTGCACAGCATTCCCTGCAAGCCAATTATGGAGAACCACTCTCGTGGGCCAGCAAGCCATCTCTTCCCAGGCCAGGCACCGAGCAGGAGCGGAGCCTGCCGTAGCTGCTGGGCAGGAAGGGCTGGGACCACTGGGGCTTTGAAATAAAACAAACAGCTTGTTTGGCAGATAGCTATTTCTTCGTGGACAGATCAAGCAGGAGGCATCATGGAAGCTGGCTGGCTGGCGACTTGAGCAGGCCTGCTGCCTTCCTGGTGTGTTGTGTCTGCGTCAGTGAAGAAGGCTAATCTTAAGCCGTACCCAAACCCCTCACAAATTAAAATGACATGGCCAAAGGATGGTTGGGCCATCCTTTCTCTGTTGTTGTTGTTGCTGATATTTTAAACCTAATTCAGCTTTTGCCACGACTCACTCGTGCCCAATATCCTTAATCTACAAACACTCAAGGATGGTAATTCAGCTTTATTATCCATATTCCCCGAGCTCACATTTCATAACGTATAAGCACACTCAAGAAAGAATGATTCCTAAAATAGCCAGGCATGTACGTTTCCACCCTCTCTTCAGGAAAGCAGTTCAAAAACATAGGTCCTACAGGTCCTTGTAATGCTTAGAATTGCTAACCTGAACCTCTTGATAGCAGCAGGCAGTATCTTCAGAAACAGCTGGGGTTTTATCTTAGCCTCTCACACCAAGCTACTACATACCATCCGCCGTGTTTATAGAAGCACTGCAGTGACAGAAGACATAGCATTAACCAAACCGAGCACAAATTCCGGCTCGCATCAGCAGAAGACTTTGAAACTGTGCATCCAAAGCTAGAACATATTACAAATTTGATGAAAACAACAGAGACCACAACCGGAGCTACTATAACCAGCTATCACAAACAAGAAATAAGCGTACCCAAGTGTTTGGGCAACAAAAGCTATTACTAGGAACAAGTTGTTCTTGTACTGTATTTCTTACACCCTGCTCTTTGCTTAATGACTTCAGGGTCTGACTCTGTACAGCCCTGGGTACCTCAAAAACTGGCTAAAAAAATCAAAAGGAACCAAGAGCACCCAGCATCCTACAGGATCAGGCCTTTTTAATGCTGTTATTAGACACTGCGTTGTCTGATAACCTTCCTTGTGACTACAACAATAATTTGCTGTTTCTGTCCTTTCAGTAGGAGCCCCCACTATGTGTGTGTTACTCGATTATTTATAAACACGGCCTTTTATTAAAAACACAGCCTTCACTGTGCTCAGAATTAATTCTACTTGGCTGTAACACAAATGATGTTTCAAATGTGTGAAATTTACAGTCAGTTACAAGGCAAAATGATGGCTCAACTTTGGCTAGTAAATTGGACACCCATAACCCTCACCCTGCCAGCGCTGGAGCTGAGCTTGCAGCCTGATTCACCACTTTTCCACACTACTCATCGGCTAGAACCAGCTCTGGGCAACTGAGCTGGGTGTTTTGGTTTTTTTTCCCCAACAGGAAAACTGAGTGTATCCTATATTCAAGAGGAGCATCATTACTGCTTATAAAGATGGACTCCAGTGTGCTACATCTCATCTCAGAGGCGTATGTACTCTCTCTCTTTGCAAATTAAGCCACCTCAAAATAAGACAACCTTATTTCTTTCCTAGAAACTCCTCAACGTTGCCTGTTTCTAAGGCAAATGGCCCTGGAAGAGAGGCTCTGTCTGGACAGCTGATGCGCAGACAGAAAAGGCAGACATGCAAATGACAGGTTTGTGGGGTGGCACTGGTTGAACTGGGAGTCTCTAGAGCCTCCGGTGCCCTGGAGCACAAAAACCTGTGCTGCCTCTTCCCTTCCTCCCCTAAAAATCACCAGAATCAACTTCTGCAGTGAAGCTAGCCCTTGCCTTTTTCCAGCTACCTATTCCCTGCCCCTCTCCCTGGTCCTTCTCCCTTCTCACAACCTACCTGGCTCCCTGCACTCACTCCAGCCCCAGCCTCCACCTTCCCCTCTCCATTCTCCCCCCTTTTCCTGTGCCACTTGGCAGCAATGAAATGCTGGCAAGGCAATCATCTTTTCCTCCCCTGCTCCAGCACTGCTCCATGCTTATTTTGACCATTGCATAAAGGGAAGGGCAGGGGTGGTCATCCTCCGACCACAACCTAGACTGCACTGGTCTCATAAGCCTGATCTTCCCCGTGGCTCAAAATAAATATTATAACCTTCATAACGCTATAATGAAGGGAGGAGGGAAGGGAGGAAGACAAGCTTTCAAATGGGCACAGAGAAGGAAGAAGAGGCGGAAGAAAGGCAGGATGAAGCATTTCTCTCAACCCCCTCTCCCACCCACTAAAACATTTTTGTTCCCCTTCTTCCACACTGAGCTCTTATTTCAGTGTAGAAGCATCTCACTGGTTAAAATTACTAACTCAACTAAAATAGTTCACACGTGCAAAATAACAGTTTGTGCAGTAACCTGTACTGAAACAAAAAACAGGAGTTCAAACCAAATTTGACCATTTTCGTTCAAGCTTGTGTGCTTTTGAGGATTTTGTTCAGGCTTGCGTGCCTCAAGGGTTACTGTCCCACAGTCCGATTTCTCAACAGACACAGGACAACTAAGCAAACTGCAGTAAAGGCTGAACAATGTGGCAAGGATGAGCACCCTTACATTGCCAGCTGTAAAAAGCAGTGAAATAAAATGCCAAGAAAAGAAAAGCTGACATAGTACTAAATTCAGCAGAGAAAAGGCAGACAAAGAGCCAAGTGAAGAGACACTGCTTTTTCTGCATTGCTCGCACCAAGAACATCATGACTGACCACAAGCGCCATATTTTCATCACTTCTGTGAACTGAAGGAATACTAGCTCCATTTTACAGATGGTAAACTGAGGCAGCCAGAAATTAAGAACTGAAGAATCTCTAAGTAGCTAAAATCTGATTCTTGCTAGTACTAAGTATTGCATTGTGAGTGTTCAAAGGACACAGCTTCCAGCAGCCTTTGGTGCAGATGCACACGTGGAGTCCAAAGAGAACTGATAAAATGAAGAACACAATGCAAGAGCGGCAACAAGACGTAGCAACCACAGACATATTTATTCCTCCATCTCCTCTTCTACATTTTCAAGTGGGGGAACAAAGTATCCTGCACACTAGGAGACTTGGATCAAAGAGCTATGATGGCCACAAGTCACAACTCACCTGACAACTGTAGCTATTTACGTACAAATTAGTAGTGCTGACCTGGCCACTATTAAAAGATTGATGTAAATGGCTTATCCAGCATCACACTCCTTGGCAGAGAATCAACTTCTCCAAAGCAACATTCAGCTGCTTTAACAATGAGATTATGTCTTCCCTTCTTGCATTCATAGGAACACAGGAGGGTAAGAGTTCAACAGACAACACTCTCCTTCACCACGCACTCTAATTCATCCCCAGAGCAGACTCATTTAATACACTGAATAAAAACCAATCATCCTATGGAGGGGCGGGGGGAAGGTATGCAATCTATTTTAGGATTATCACAAAGCAATATATAGATGTATGGATAGAATTAAGATTGCATAAGCATTTCCTAATTCTGGCATTTTGTAACATTTGAGCGCTTAACTTAGCCACTTTAATATCCTTTCACTCTGACCATCTGTGTAGTGTCTGTCTGCACCCGTACGTTAGGCTGCCTCCAGGATCCTGGAGATGCTAGGCACCACATCCCAACCGCCCGAAGGGCTTTAAATCACCTGCATAAATCTGCTTTGCATGAATCCAGCCTCTTTGTGCATGGGACAGGGAACCCACTACACGTGTAGAGCTTAACTGCCCAATGGAAGCTGCCCGTTAGGAAACCCATAGGTCCAGATGCAGAGGCATCACCTTGTGTGTACATCAGCACGGCTATTACGTTTGCATTTTCTGTATATATTTAATGTACATTTATGCCTGTATATGCAGAGGCATCACCTTGTGTGTACATCAGCACGGCTATTACGTTTGCATTTTCTGTATATATTTAATGTACATTTATGCCTGTATATGCAGAGGCATCACCTTGTGTGTACATCAGCACGGCTATTACGTTTGCATTTTCTGTATATATTTAATGTACATTTATGCCTGTATATGCAGAGGCATCACCTTGTGTGTACATCAGCATGGTTATTACGTTTGCATTATCTGTATATATTTAATGTACATTTACGCCTGTATTTGGCAAGTTAAAAAGGTTGGGGGGAAGTGGCCAGCCAAACTGACTGCCAGCAAGTGGCTACTGGACTGGCCAGCAAAACCACAACAGCTACTCATATCTCTATTTCCCCAGGGGAACAAATAAAAGGAAGTTCTACTTCCCTCTTCTGCAAGGGATTCATTCATAGCCACAGACACTTTTCTCTTAGATATGTATTCTAACTCTATCATTAATATCCTACTTCAGTATTAGAGTAACACGCTATGGGACTTCCAAGACCAATGCAAAACATTAAGGCAGAATGTGAATACAGGAAAGACAGGATATAAAACATCACACAAAAAGGAGGGGAACTCAAATTACTGGATATGAAAAGCAAAATGTCAGGTCTATGCATCAACTCAAGTCAGTGGCAAGGTATCTACAGGCAGAGACGCTTCTCTTATGGTCTCCACATCCTTCTTACCCGCTACAAGAAAGAGTCAGCTGCCTGTAGTAAAGTTCTGTCTTCTCAAACATAAAACAAAACGCGCTGTACATAAACGGTGTCGACATTTGTGGCACAAAAAGCTACCGAGTAGGAACGTGTCCAGATTTTACAAACCCGAGGGACTACTTCTAGAGCCTCTTTACCTACTACGCCAAGCTTCTAGGAAGCTATTCAAATCTCTGAAAAATGCAGATGCCTTGTGCATTACCGTATCTCCACAGATTGCCAGCCTGATTTTAGGGCTAGAAGCAAGTTCTGTATCGCCTCTCCCTCTCCCACCTCATCATTCTCAGCGTACCAGAAGTTTTGCTTTTATCCACGCAAAAGATTAGATCTCAGAATTCAAAGCTGCATCCCTTTCAGACGCAGAAAACCTGTTCAACACTTGTGAACTTAAGAGAACTTAACCTTGTCTTTTCTGTGGCAGGCGTAATTCAGGTAAATACACCACAGTTGAGGAAAAGGTATCCAGAAGTTATTTTTATGAACTGGTAAGCAACCATCTGTCCACAAACAATCACAGCCTGCCCCCAAGACAAGGCTCCTTTATGGCTGAACTTGTCTGGCATCATGCCCTTTGTTTGCTGACTGGTGAATTATGGCTCACAAATTCACCTCATGTTCTTTCTGCCTTCCCCCGTACCACTTGTGCCTATTGTTTTATCTGTTTGACCAAAAAGAAGAAACAACAAAAATAAAAGAAATGTTTGTGCTTTGGTTTATAGTAGATCCTAATTTTCCTTATGAAGTAAATATTCTCCTTTATTTGTTTTGACTAGCAACCATACCAGGACCTTCCCCGGTAGCTTACTCCAAATCTTGCCCCAGAACTCTGAGGACACCACAGACCATTTTGCATCTGCATCTGCCTTCCAAGTTCCAAAGTATCAAAAGCAGTAATCCCTGATTAAAAAAAGAAGCACTGCCATATATGTCAGCTATGATGAATGTTCTTTTCCTACAACCTCAAAGAGATTTTATCTGCATTGAGATGTGAAGTAGACAAGTACTATGAAAGCTGCAGTAGCTGGGGAGGTATCACCAAAGTTCCTTCTTAAAGAAGCTTCCTCTCACTTTTCACTAGAATCATGCATCAGAAGCTTATCTTATGTGCTGGAAAGTGACCATATTTTACTTCTTGCTCAGACAGAGATAACTGCATCTAGGATGTTTATTACACACAAGTCCAAATGCACAATGCATAAAATGTGTTATCCTTATGCAACGAAATGAGAATATCTTTGATGATATCCACAATATCATCAGACCCCCTCCCCCCCAAAAAAACCCAACAACCAACCACCAAAGCTTTTCAAACAATAATATCATGTCAGACCACTGAGCCTGTTCTGGCCTTTGCAAGTTGTTGGGAAGGCTGACTCTGGACAGTGATAAAAACTAACTGTAAACCACAAAAATCCAGTTTTGGGTCTCCTTTTTAAAACTGTACAGTTCCTTGTAAGAGGCTTACATACGACAAATAAATGAATGAGATGCAAACAAAGCAACTCTACCACACTCACATTAGTCACTTCTCTAACATCTTCAAGGCACAATATCACTGGAAGCGGCCAGGATGAAACTCACTCTCAAATTAGGAAAAAAAAAAAAAGTGATCAAATGTAATGGCAAACACTGACACGAGTAGCAGGTAACCTGTTATCCTAACTGCTATTGTATCAGCTTTTAATTAATTTGGTAAACCTGTTTAGCTTCAGTATTTAAAAGGTCACTCTCCAATATGCACACAAGCTAAAACTGAAAGGCGAGATCCACAGCAGTTACATGATACTTAGGATGTACATAATACGATGCTCTGTATAACAGGACACAAATGTAAATAGAGCCACGGATCTATGGAAAAGGTTTCTGCCACCCAGCCTCAAGAAGAAAATTCATTAGTTTGCACTGACAGTAAGCTCTTGTTCAACACATGGCACAAAAGCCAGTAGCAAACATCGCAACACTGAGACTTAAGAACACTCAGGAAGTAATCTCCAAAGCGAGAGGGGTGGTGGTGGGGAAATAGCTGGGTTCTCTACCTTATGTTATTTGAGAAAAGCCAGGTAGGCTTGCTACAAGAACCTTTTGCTCAATTGTTGACTTAAAAATACATGAATGACTATCTTTGTCTTTTCTGGTTTTCCAAAACATCTACTGGAGAGAGAGTCACAGACTCATCATTATTAATTGGAGACAACCTGAGACAAAAGTGTTTTCTTCCAAGTATGTCCTAGACCTCCAAGCTACATAAACACCTTGAGAAAAATGAGGGCATAAAGTTAAACAGTTGTAAAAGAAAAGTGCATTATTTCCAATTTAATGGAACAAAAAACTCTTTTCAGAACTGTATCTAGAAATAATGTATATTTTCCTACAAGAGGGTTGAAAAAAAAAAGCTTCAAAAGATTAACTTGATCACAAGTAGTATTATCATAAAAGTTTGATGTTGGATGAGGCCAAGCACAATCTTTTTCCCCCCCTCCTAGTTTTTAATTAAAGACTAGGAAAAAAAAACACCCTAAAATAATTAGTAGTAAGCATGAAGAAGGGAAGACTAAGAAATTATAACAAAACTGGATTTTTTCTGTTTAGCTTCTTAAACATGATTTGCATCCTATTTTTAAGGTAAAGGGAGATCACTATGCTCACTTATCCACATACGTGAGGAAAGACGGCCTTGTGGTTAAGTCAGAAGACTAGAAACCAGAGAATGAGGTTCTGGGGAGTCCTGGGTCTCCTGCTTGCTTGACATTCAGCACAGGCACTCAACAGTCTTAACCAAAAGCTTTTGCACCTACAGAGCAGAGGTATCACCCTCCAGAAGGGATGTGAACAAATGAACTGCATCTGGAAGATAGAGCAAAGTCCCTAAAGAGTTACAAAAATATAGGCATTAGCATAGAGGTATGTCACCTCATAGTTTGCGGCGAGTTGTACAGAAAAGCACAAACAGCCACCAAGAAGAGTGATACCTCACCAGGGAAATCATCAATTACTCTCCTTCCTCCCTCCCTGTCCCCGGAGGAGATTCAATCCACCATTAAAGAACTGCTGTGTTTTCCCTGAAGATGCACCTTCCATTTAGAAAAAAAAAACAACAAAACAACTTCCACTTCCAGTTTCCTGCATTATTATCTTTTTTTTTTAATAAATAATAATAATAATCGAGTGTCTGAACTTCAGGACTTTGCATCCACAGCAGGTTTCCAAGCCCCATAAGCGCCCAAGCCCCTTCCGCGGGGGGTGAGGGTCCAGCCCGGACCCCGGCTCCCCACGGCGAATCGACCCCTCGGGGAGGACGCCCGCCGTTCCTGAGGGGAGGAATCCGCCGGGCCCAGCGCGACGGGCCGGGGCCCGGGCCCAGCGCGGCGGCGGCAGCAGCAGAGGCCTTTCGGAGTGAGGAGGCGCCGCGACCTCAGGATACCTCCGGGACGGACCGAGGGAGCCTCGCACGGCACAGCAGCTCCCGGCAGCCTGTCCTGAGCTGACACCGGGCGGCCCCGCTGCCCAGCCGCCCGCAGACACCCGAGTTTCGTGCCGCCGCTTTCCCAGCCCAACCCAGACGCATTTAATCCCCCCCCCC